TTATTCCTGATTTGATATATTAAAAAAAAAAAACTTGAAAGGAAAAATATTTTGCAATTATTGCAGGCATTATTCTCAAACTGGTACATTGGTAATTTTGGAAATGTATTTGTCATTGGAAAAATAAATTTAGGATTTAATCAGGCAAGTCTCATGACAATTTTGGAACCTTTTAAAGCTAGGAGCATATACATGACACTAATTAGCATGTGCAGGAAGTCTCTGAAGTTAAAATTGCTATCTTACCATTAGGAAAGACCATTTTAAAACTAGGAATAAAATGCAAGAATAAATTGAGGGCTCATTTATCACAGCCTACAACCTAGCATAAAACAGAGAACCTTTTGTGAATATGAAAATGCAGTGTGCACTGCAGGAGAAGAATGGTCTAATAATTATGCCAAAGATAAGAACAAATTTGGGGTAAGGGATTTTGTTCCTTCAATTGATGAAGCCATGAGAGAAGTTACGGAAGGTCTGAATTCAGTAAAATCCATTTTTGCTTTATGGAGGTATGGATGGCACAATATTTTGATTTTAAAAAATACATCTTGTTGAAGATAAGCAAGAGGTCAAGACTTTGGTACAAGTGAAAATGCAGATGGAACAAGTTAATTTATTAATTAATTAATCCCTCCCGTTCCCATTTTTGTTTGTATGCTTGTTTTCTCACAATGTTTTCAGTTTTAAAATACATCTTTGGCCAAGCTAATAAATTTGTTACAAAATATGGGGAGGGCTTATTAATGAGAATCAGTCTTTCAGATTCGTAATTCTAATGAAGAATGGTTAGATGAAACAACCTACTGTACTTCCATTGAAATTTAGGCTTGTTTCTTTTTTTCAGGACATGTTTAATGGCAGTAGACACTGCCAACATTTTACACCCCATTAATAAAGCATAGCATTTTCTCAGATTTTTGGTGACATGATATGAAGACTGTAAGACAATATTAAGTGATTTAGACTGGGTTTTACTAATCATTATTAACTTGTATAGTATGATAATTTAATGAATATAATATTTCCATTTTGGCATCTGTTGTTTAGCATATTTTATCAAGTATAATTCACACCCTAAATGCAGTCACAGTGGACTATATGTGCCATTGTAGAATATGATAGCTGATCAAAACTGGTCTTATCATTTCGATTTTACGTGCCCAATTAAATTTATTTCTGTCTTAACTATCTTTGCTAGCAAAGATTTCAATTTGCAGCTATCTACACCTTGGCAGATTGATCAGATATTTCAGCGCTTTGGTTCTTTGAATATCATTGGATGCAGCTGCAAGCAACTGCATCCAATCAAAATTGAGTTATTCCAATTTGAACACTATTCCTACATGATCAAGACAAGGTAAGCACACAACTGGCATGGACTCATCAATAAGTGATTTTTCACTGCTGGTCCATGTTTGCACAAATGTATCCATTGCCTCAAATACACCTGTAATGTCTTACCTCTGGTATATAGCCATACTTTCAATGTCTAACTTACAAATTTTCCTTTTGAAGTCAATTTCCTTGACCATTTTCAGCTAAAGTACAATGCAGCATTGTTGCACTGTTGGTTAGTTGCCATTACAACTAAGGGAGGCAACTCATGAAATTTACTAGATGTTGCTTGGACAAAGCATGAAACATCTCATCTATCTGCCTAATGGAGATGGGTGTTATGGGTAGTATCAGCATCCAGATATTGCTGACCTTTGTCAACATATATTTGCCCCAAGCAAAATGCAGTTGAAATTTTGAAGGGCTGTAGAGTCTACCATTACCGCAATTGTTCTTTGATTATAAGTGAACAGTAAATATTCGATGGCCAGAGTTTCTATTGAGATTATCACCTATATCCGAACATGGTGTGATACTGCTATAAGCTCATCAGACAACTTAATTTCAGCATAGGTATTAGGTGGTAGGGATAATAGCAATCTTAATGGGCAAGTGAAATTGTTGTCATTGGGTGTGTATTATGTTTTAAGTTTTCTTGAAGCAAAGGATGAAAATTTGTGATGTCACATATGGTTTTTATAAATTACAATGTAAATATCTTACATTTGCTGTTATTATTTGCTAAAGGTATTGTTTGTTATTTTCTTGTGATATTGTTGAGAATGGTTACCGAAATCATATATTCTAGAGTATATATTAATTTTGTCTGACTTGTAGCACATTAATGTTTGTAAAACCATCATGGTAATAATATTAATATTTGTAAGTTTTTCCCACTATCAATAATATCTCCTTGGAACAATAACATGGTTCTATAGGTTATGGAAATCTTTAAAAATTCTGAAGTTTTGTTAAAGTATTTTAAAAACTGAAAAAGCCTTCAAAAATGAATTGAGAAAAGATATGAAATTACATTTGGTTATATTTTAATAAGCATTGTAACTATTTTTCACTATTGTTTTTGTAATTCTTTCATTTTGTACTGAAATGGCATGTGAAATGGCTTATAAAATTTTAAATTTTAAATTTTAAAAGTATATAATGATTGAAAAATCATGGTAATAAGTCATGAAAAAGTTATTGAAAAATCATGTACTGATTTAATTTTTTCCAGCTGAATGTTTATACAGCAACTGTGTCATGTTGCTCTCAAATTGTAATGGAAAGTTAACCCTTTATAAAAATGGAGAGTGCCTCCTACTTATTTGCATATCTGTTCAAAACATATGGGTTTTTTTCCAGTTTGTTTTGCATACTTTCTTGGTAAATGAAACATGATTATAGTGTGAAAAGTTGATGAAAAATTGCCAGGTTTTCAAAATAGTGGAATGTGTGAAGTTACCAAGGTAATATTCTGAATTTCAGTTGTGCAGGCTCTTGTGTGACCATTCAGTTATGCAATGATTTGCACATAGTTGAAATTAAATTTGTTAGTGGTCAGTTGGACTCTGTCATTGGTTGACATACCATCTTCAGCTGGAGGCCAGTTTTGTAACCAGTGTTTAATATACACAAATCCTAACATTTATAATCTTGTCTGCATTGTCAATGATTATAACAAAAACAAGCCCATTGACCTTCATCTCAGATTTTTTAACCTAATATATGGCAACTCTGATAACTGTGCTTGTATGGAAACAGAAACCCTTCATTTGACAATTTACCACAAAAAAGTGCTAAATAACTTTGCCACATGACCAGGATCATTGACATCTGGATCCATTTTTCCCCTATGGCTGTGCCATGTTCATAGGTGAATCTCCAGAGAAGTCTAATGTCTGTCAAGAGAGACATTAATTTTCCTCTTCCCACAGTGTAAGAAACTGTTCACTGTGACCTTAACCTTAGGTCTTTTGCTTTCACACTAGTGGCATATTTATATCCCAAGGCAAACATTCATACTTTGGTGTCCTATCATCTATGGAAGTAAGATCCCAAAAATTGATTAATTGACTACCATATAATATTGAGACAAGTACTAGCTATGACTTTGACTGTGCCGTCCATGGTTGGCAATCTAATGATATTGTCTTTTAAGAAAATACTTAACCAAAAGTTGATGTTGTTTGAAATGAAAAAAAACGGACATTGTGACCACCATGTTTTGCATTTTTTAAGCATTCATTTTAGGTGAGACGATAGCTTACTTGAAGTTGTGTCAACTTTTTATGAAAAATTATTGGTAAATGGATGTATTTTGCATGCAGATATACATGTAAGCTATTATGTGATAATTATAGATGTACATTACAGTTAATTGTAATAACATAATTGTAAAGATATTTTAAAAAGTGAGGATTTGTATATGTTTAAATCATAATAATTTATTAGCAAATATTTTTTCCCTTCAGCATGAATAGAAGTCATTTGAGATGTAATTAATATTTACCTTGCAAGTAAAAATTATTAGTACAATCAGTACCTTGTATATTGAAAGTGATTTTGACTTGTGTATCTATAATCATATTTATCTACATATATATATATATATAGATTTTTTTAAAAACTATCTTTTTGCATTTATTTTTTACAAACTTGTTTTCTTCATTTAAATTATGCAAGAAAGTAGTAGAAATGCTTTTCTTACTTTTTTGAGATTTTGTAATATATTTTACTTTTCTTGAGAAATATATCATGAACTTTTGATCATTTTGAATATTTTCCATGTATTAAAGTTTAGTTAAATTTGGTTAAAAAAAAATTGTTAATCTAAATACATTTCTCATTTTAGATGACAATGCATGCATAAGTTTTATTGGTTATATTTAATTGAACTTATTTGTGATATAAAATTTTGGAATTTAATACAGCTGAGTCTATTTGGCTTGAACTTGTTTGGAACAGACAATTGTGATTGAATAACTGGTTGTTAGGCTCTGACAGAACATCTTTATCTTATATAGTAAAATGGCACTGTTTGTTTAAAGACTGGCTTCAGGGCTGTGATTGGCTTAAATAATAGCTTAAAGTGAGTGATTGGCTTAAAGATTGACTTTAAGGCACTGATTGGCTTAAATTGTGGTTTGAAGACTGATTGGCTTAAAAGCTAAGATTGGCTTCATGGCAGTGTTTGGCTTATAGAATGGCTTTAAAGCTGTAATTGGCTTGTAGGCTGAATATAAGATTGTGATAGGCTTAAAGATTGGCTTCAAGGCAGTAATTTGCTTAAAGACTGGCTTCAAGGCAGTATTTGACTTGAAGAGTGGCTTCAAGGCTGTGATTGACTTAGAAAGCTCAAAGACATGAAATCAGTCTTTTTTCCAATATGTAACAACAATTAGAAAGATTAGGCTTTACCAAGTCTGGATTATTTAAAACAACTTAATTTGCTGTGAGAGTTGTCTGAGCCAATCACCATGTTCTTCATTTTGATCATTATCTTTGAAAGTGATGTTAATACAAGAAGTTATTTAAGATAATGAATAACAAACAGGCCAATTGATTCCTTTTATATATATATATATATATATATATATATATATATATATATATATATATATATATATATATATTTCATGTAGCATCAAGTAACATTTGCAATTGCTTCGGTGTTCTAGTGGTTAGAGCGTCCACCTTGGATGCGTGAGGTCATGGGTTCAATCCCAGGTCGAGTCATACCAAAAACTTACAAAAATGGTACTAACATCTTCCTCCCTTGACCCTCAGCATTAAGAGGTTAGTGTTAGGACTGGTCGGCCTGGTGTCAGGATAATGTGACTGGGTGGGGCATCATGCTACATGTTTGCGGCATGATGCCCCAGTGCTAGACATCACTATAAACTGCCTCACTGCAGACATTGTAGTGATATGACTGAAAAATTGTTAAAGCTATGTTAAAAATCATAATTACATCACATCACACAGTAACACTTGCCAGTCATATGCTCTGTTCTAGTGTGCCCCTTTATATTCAAGCCATGAGATTTCACAGTATGTATTACATAAAAAATTTATTGTCTTGTGGTCCTTCTTCAGAAGGTCTGATTAAAGCTCATCTGGAAAACTGATCATTGTACCGGTTGTCGGCTTCCTCAGTCAACAAAGTACCATCAACATGGATCTTATCATTAGGAAGTACCAGTTGATATATTTTGCTTTTGTTAGAAATTTGATGAAACAATTGTTTTTAAAGAATATCTTATTAGTTAGTACCTGATGTATACACGATCATTTGATTGAATGTCCAACTACTCCATTTAGATACATACATGACTTTGGTAGAGTATGTATATGTATCTATATCTATATATCTATATATATATATCTATATATATATATATATATATATATATATATATATATATATATATATATATATATATATATATATATATATATATGCATCTGTATATACATGGCACTTTGATCATTGATTGTTATCTTGATTCAAAATGTGATATCATGCGATTCTTACAATATTTAAAGCCATCTCTATTGTATAGTACATCATTTGCAGAGTTATTTCCCCCTGATGAGAACCTTTTCATGCACAGTCTTCATTTTGTTAGACGTGGGGTTTTTTAAAAAATTTTCTTATACAAATTATGGGATGGAATTTATAATATTGACCAAAGTCATTGGGATACTTTGTCTTGAAATATTTCATGATAATTTGTAAATTCCTAACTCAAGATAATATAAAGACCGATTAATATTTATAGATTACTTTTATCTGGTATTCTCTTCTGTTCCAGTAAAGTTTAAATCTGTTATAACTAGTAAATGCCATTGTTTTAAAAGTCAGCTGAGCTGTTAAAATCTGTTCTGCCTGCAACCATTATGTTTGTGAGAACTTGTTTTTGTTTATGTTGTCATTTGATTTTGTCATCATCATGATTATCAGTTTCTGGATTTAGATGAATTCCTTCTAGACCTAATTAGCCATGTTAAGCTGCATCTGCTATCAGCACTTAGAATTATAATGCAATTTTAGGTGTTGTTACATTGCACTCGTGCTAATTTTATGATGTATATGGAAGGTGAAAATGGGTTGTATTGTATACAATTAAAGAGGGATAAAAGTGTATCACATTCGTTCAGATCAAGGTAAATATCATTGAATTCCTCTCCTTCATTCCAGATAGCATTCTGAATGCATATCTGATATTGCAATCATCTTATGGTCTTGTGTTTTACAAATAGTTCATGCAAATTTTCAAGCACATAACTGCAGTGATCTTTGTGTCAGTTGATTCTTAAATGATGTGTACCATACATTATACTTGGGCCATTGAGAATGTGGTCATGTTTTTGTGTGATATCAGAACTGTAAGTAAATATTTTCCTTAAATTGAGCCATTCAGCATTGGTCTCAAACTTTGATGATATAATTTACAGCCATGTAATATTTTCAGCTGTAAAAAGGAACTACTATTATTTACTGAGTAACTACAAGGTGAATGTCTTCTGCTTGAGCTTGACTGTGTCTGTATGACTAAAAGGAATTGTTGAGAATAGTTTCACTAAAAATAGTTAATGAATGTTTGCTTTTCATGTACAGAACTACAGGTTTCCCCAGCTTTGATCTTTTTGAATTGCATGCTTTCTGTTTAAAGATCTCCATTTCAGTTGGGTTCAGTTTATAGCATGAAACAATATATGATTTTGTATTCAGTAGGAGTCGAGTTATATCCAGAAGAATAGATATTGTGTATTCAGTTAACACTGTTCATTATTCCAGGAAGTGTGATGAGTTTATAACTAGAGATTTTTTGTATTATAAATACTCACTGAGTGTCATATTGCACATTATGTGCCATGTGTAGTTTTGATTGTTATTTATTTTTCTTTGCGCTTGTGTGCATTTTCATTCCAAGAATAGGAATAAGGAATTTGTGTTAAATTGACATTTGTTGTATTACTGTAATTTACATTTGCTGTATTACATGTAATTCACATGTGTTGTATTACATGTAATCTACATGTGTTGTATTACATGTAGTTTACATGTTTTATTACATGTAATCTCAAATAGCATGGAAATGTTTTGTATTTTTGTGGCAACCACATTAGTGGGAAGTTGGACATTACAGTTTTCTGCTGGTAGCAGTGGCATTGTTGTCAAAATTTTGTTATAGACATTGAAGTTAGTTTTCTGCTGGTAGCAGTGGCATTGTTGTAATGATTTCAGTAAAATTTTAATTGAAGATTTACACCAATGTTTTGGTCATGGCCTTGACATGTAGTCCATTACCTTTATTTCATGTTTATGTCATTCATTTTTCCATTAGTATAGAGAAGCCAAATGTCCATACTCATATAAAGCAGCATGAACATACAATGACACCAGTAATCATTGACTTGTACAGTAACATTAACACTAAAAACATTAGTACTGATAGATTCATATTCAGTACATGTAGCATAGACATACAATAAAACCAGTGCTCATACTAGTACAGTAATGTGAGTACACAATAAAACCAGAACTCATGGACATATATACAGTAGCATGAGCATGATAAAAGCAGTACTAGGCTTCATATACAATAGCATGAGCACACAAAAAAATCAGTACTCAGACTTGTACATTAGTATGAGCATACAGTAAAATCAGTACTCAGATTCATACATTAGTATGAGCACACAATAAAATCAGTACTCAGATTCATATACAGTATTATGAGCACATTCAGAGACCAGTACTCACAAACTTGTATACAGTAGTGTGTGCACACAATCAAACCAATACTCATATACAGTAGGATAAACATACAACTAGTACTCACAGACTCAAATACAGCAGCATGAGCAGTTAAACCAAATCTCCATACATTTTATATATTCAGAAATTTGGAGCAGCTGTCACACTAAGCACAAGAGAAATATTTGAGATACTTTTCAATTTTTTTTTATTTGCAAAGTGTATTCTAGTATCCATTATTTTTATTAGTAAATGAAGAATTGTGTGATATCACCATCAACCCTGGACATCTAGCATTATGTGAAAAAAGCATGCATTTAATATAAGTGCAGAAACCTTTTTGTGCTGCTTAAATAAGTGCTGAGGCAGAAATTAAATAAATTGTTCTTTTTTTTTTTAGTGAAATTTTTAATAATTAATAATAATAATAAAAATAGTAATAATTAGTAATAATAATAATAATAATAATAATAATAGTAATAATTAATACTAATATCTCATTATACAGCAATGAAATATTTCTTAAGTGATACTGTTATCAGCTTTTTTTAAACAATATTTAACAAAGTTTGAAGTTATACTGTCCATGAGCATGCTTAAGAAAAAGGCTTAAATTTAAATTTAAAAAAAAAAAATATACATGCTTATTACATGCATAGTGTTGGGTTGATAAAACCCATGAAAAGGATGTTTCAGGTTGTGTATGATAAGTTTCTATGTACATTTTTGTTGCTGTTTCTATAGAGATTTATCATACAGATTTGTACTGGTCCGTATTGGTTATTGTATTAGACCTGGCATGTGCAACTTATGGGCCACATGCCACATTTGGCCTGTGATATGGTTTGATCTGGATGTATGTATGGAAGGGCTTTTTTTTATCCACTTGTCCAGTGGTAGAGTATTGGCAGCTCTTAACTTAAGAGAGTACATGATAGTTAGTGCCATGAATGTGCTGTGCATCACAGACCTTGTGAGGCCCAGAACTGTCATGAGACTTGATTAGTTCAATCCTGAATTTGTCTGTTCCATTGCCAAACATTGCTGGTTTAATTATGAACCTGTGCCACTTTGAGATATTGTTTGCATTAACTGCAAAACATTTTTCCTTCTCTGTCTTGGACTCAAGACGAATAACTTATCCACCCAATGCAGCTGAAAGTTGCTGTCTCTTCTCAGTGTCTGGCTTTTATCCTTTTTGGACAATTAACTATGTCACACTAGAGGTAGTCATATGTTTTGCCCTTTCACTTTCACATTTTTGTTGCCAGTGTCTGGTTGACACCTTTTTGGACAAATCTCACACGCGGTGGCAGTTGTATGTTTTGCCTCTCCACTGTTTTGATTTTCCTTCTCCAAATCCTCTTTTTAAATTTCTTTGCAAAATTAATTTGTGGTAACCTTGTAGTAAACTTATTCTTACCACCCAGTATACATTACCATGATTATTAACTAATTCTAAAGAGATCAAAACATACATTTTAAATATGACCACTCTTTAATTAGTGTAACTGTTTCAAAAACAATATTGGACTTGGAATGAATACTTTGTATAATTATGGAGATATTGAAGATTTATAACTGCCTGCTAATCAGTTCATAAAGGCAATGGACAAAGATGCTTTTAAGTTGCCTTTCATTAATTTAATTGGACTGACTCGCTGGATTAAAGTTGATGGGCAAGTCATTTGTGAGGAACTGGGTTCATTAAACACAATCAAATGAAGCCATTAAAAAGACTACTGATTGACCATAGCAGCTTTGTTTTGGTTCCTGTCTTTTGATTTGCAGTAATTTTGGCACTAAGTCCAATATGCATTCAAGCAGTTATCAAATTGTGTACTTTCGACAGTTATCAGTGACCTCCTGTATGTGCAATACAAGATGTAAATAAATACATATATGGGAAGAATCAAACGTCCATTATGCCTGGATGCCATAAATGGAGAGATAAAGGTGGGTAAAGTGATTA